CACTTGGATTAAAAAAAATCACCTTCAAAAGCACAAGATTAGGGGGGCAGCTAGGTGGCGCAGTTGATAGAGCACCGGCCTTGAAGTCAGGAGGACCTGCGTTCTAATTCGACCTCAGCCCAAACACTTGACACCTACTAGCTGTGTGACCATGGGCAAGTCACTTAACTCCAATTGCCTAAAAAAAAAAGTACAGGATTGGGGAGGCATAATCAAATAGCAGTTTGTCTGAAAAGGAGCTAGAATTTTAGTGGACTGCAAATTTATTATTAGGGCAGCTAAGTGGTGCAGTAGATAGAGTGCCTGACCTCAAGTCAGGAAGACCTGAATTCAAATCCAATCTGAGACATGAGCTGTGTGACCCCTAGGCAAGTCACTTAACTCTATTTGCCTCAGTGTCCTCATCTGTAAAATGAGGAGAAGGAAATGGCAAAACCACTCCAGTATCTTTGCCAAGCAAACTCCAAATAGGGTCACAAAAAGTCAGGCACAACTGAAAACAACTGAATGACAGTGACAACAAAGCTTATTATGAGTCAGCAGTATGACATGGCATAAGCTAATTTGATCCTGGGCAGCAGAGACAGCCATAGCTTTTAGGAATAAAGAAGTGAGAGTTCCTTTGTACTTTGGTCAGTAAAGACCATATTTGGAATATTGATTGTATCCAGGTCCAGGAACCACAGTTTAGGAAGGATATTTTAAGAGCTAGAGAGTGTCCATAGGAGAGCAACCAGGATGGTGAAGGGCCTGGAATCCATGTCTTATGAAGATCATTTGAAAGAATTGGGCATATTTAGACTGGAGATGACTCTGGAGGAGAAAGAGGGAGAAAGAGGAAAGAGTACTGGCCTTGGAGTCAGATGATCTGAGACCATTCTTGCCTTTGACCCATTGACTCTGGGTAAGTCACATTACCCTGGCACCTCAGTTTCCTCAGTTATAAAATGAGGGGGTTGCACTAGAAGTCCTCCAAGGTCCCTTCCGTCTCTAAGTCTGTGGATCCTGTAATATGACTGCCTTCAGGATGTGAAAGGTTATTGTGTAGGAGATGGATTCAATTTGTCCTGTTTGGCCAGAGTCAGATTCAGGAGCAAAGAATGGAAGCTACAGAAAGGGGGTGGGGTGGGGACCCAGATCAGGAAAGACTTTCTAGCAAACTTTCCTAAAAGTGAGTGTGCATTGGAGGCTTCAAGCTCAAAAAGGTTTGATGACCACTTGTCAGGTGTGTCAAAGGAGGTTCTGTCACATATGGATTGGACTAAAGGGCTACTGGGATTTCTTCTGATTCTAAAACTTGTGTGCCTACATCCATTGACACTTGAATATAATAATTATAAATGGCAGCAGACTAGCATAGGCTAGAATGAAGCTCATAGACAACCTATCTTCCAACCCCTCTGAAGCATCTCAAAGAGTAACTTCTTATTCCCATAGTCTTTTGTATCCGTCTGTTACAATCTGAACACAGGTTGGCTTTGTTTTTGTTTTGTTTTGTTTTGGTGGGGGAAGGATTGTGAAACCAAGAGTTACCGTGATAATGAATGAAATATACCAAAAACAAGATCCCTATTTAAGATCGCTATTCCATTCAAAAGAGACCATATAGAAGTCCACATGCATTTAAGAAACTGATGACAGGCAACCTTAGCAGCACTATCCCCCCCCCAAATCCAGAAACAAAAACTGGAAAATGAAGTGAATATCCATCAATTGCTGAACAAATGATATCCAGTATGATAAATTATGTTGGATTTGGGGCCAGAAAATCTGGGTTCAGATCCCAGCTCTGCTACTACTAACTGTATGACTTTGAGCAAAGTAAATCACTGGGTCTCAGTTTCCTCATCTGTGCAATGAGGGGGTTGCCATAGATGACTTTCCAGCTCTAAATCTAGTAATACTTTGATCCCAAGGGACCAGGAAGATGTATAATCCTTATTCTTTATACAACAGAAGGCATTTTTTTTGGTTATTGTTATTGCTTTAAAGCCAGGAGAATCCAAGCTTCCTGCTACCTGATCTTTCATTAAAAGGGCTGAATCTTGAGCAAGTGGGTCATTAGGAATTCTCTTCACTCACCCTCTCAAGGAGGGACTGTCATTGTTGAGAAGGGAGGAAATGAAGTGAATGCTTTAAGGTAGAAAAAAGAAATCTTACCTAACCTGGGGAGTGGAGTCAGAGGGACAAGCATTATGGGCCCAAAGCCTTTTCCCTTTGAAGAGGAGGAAGCTGTCTGGTTCCTAGAGTTTTCTCACTTCTGACTTCATCCCCAGCCTCAGGGAACTGAAACTCCAGCAGGGTCCAGTAGAAACTGGCCCAGACAATGTGAAACCAAATCATCCTTTCAGAGTTTCCAGTGGGGGCTCTTGTGTACATGAAGCCAAGGGGCTCAATGACTACTCTGTCATCTGTCTACAGAGGTAGACATGTGAAGGTGAAGAATGGGTGTAGTCCAAGGAATTGGCGGGCTCAGACTGTTGAGAATTAGGACACCTGAGTGCCCACTCTACCTCAGCAGGTTCTCAATGACTGTTTACTTCTTCAATCAAGAGATCATTCTTCCACCTCTCCTCAACTGAAAATAAAAAGACCAGCCCCATCTGCCCTTTCTTACAATTAACAAATTGTTAACTTCGTCTAAATCCCTATCTTAAACTAGCAGTGTTGTGTATTTTTTTCCTTCATGGAAGGGAGCTGGGAAATGTGCCTTCAGCTGGCATTTTGGTAGGGGGTGGGGGGGAGGGAGGAGAGAGCCCCCTTTTTTTATTTACCAGCAAAGACATTATTGTTACTGAAACTAAACTCTGCTTTTTGCAATTATATCCACTGCTCTTCTGGTCTCCAGTCTTTAGACGCCAAGTTTTAACCCAGAACAAAAGTTGCTGTCGGAGCTGATTTATAATCTCATGAATATAGGGATTTATAACCCAAATCTGCTGACAGGCCTGAAACCAGGCTGTCCCTCCTGGGTGCACCATGCACCCAGGCTGTGGCTGTGGCAGTGGCAGTAGCAGAATGAAGCTAGGGCCAGAATCCACACCTGCCAGCTACCTCTTGCCCTTCTTTAGGGGGCTCAGATTAACCCATCTCCAAAGAACCTGAGGGGGGAGGGGAAAGGAAGGTGTGGGTGGGGAATGGGAGGGGCTACTAAATTGAAGGCTCTTCCTTTTTTTCACCTTCCCACTTTGTGCTTAGACTTTGAAGAGTTTTCTCGGACCTTGGGGAATTGACTGGTGGGAAGGAAGAAAGAGTGAGACACCTCCCCAGTCAGGCTGGGCCAGAAATTATTTTAGAGCCGATTTATGGATTTGAATTCTCCTCCCCTTCCCCTAAGAAACTCCTGTTAGGTTTCTTTTATCTGAATATCTTGGCTTATCCAATTTTTAACCAAATCTTCCAGGTGTCCCTGGAGGTAAAAAATACATTTCAAAATGAGTGGACTCAATCCATGCCATGATGGTGCTGGAGCCCAGACCCTAAAGTTTTTGTATTTTTTTGTCGCTGGGCTTAGGGCAGACAAAGTCTTTGTTCATCTCTGGCTGTGGATGTTTGAGCCTACCAGAGTGCTTTCTTTCCCCCATGGAAGCCCCAAATTTTTTTCAGTGAAAAGACTGCTGAAAGGCAGGATCTAATGGGGAAGAAATGATCAGGGAATGGATTCTGGAATAAGCAAAGTCTGATTTTGGTGGGAACCTTTCAACCCCAGAAGGATCATCTCTCCCTCTCTTCCCAGAATGAAGATAAATCTCTTTCGATTTCCATCTCTGCCAAACGCTTCTTGCCGTGTAGCCTGTGAACTGTTTTGAAATTCTCAGACCCACCCAACCTGGGTTTCTGAGTCCCCTAGAAATCCTACGGCCTGCCAGAGCAGCAAAACATCTTTTTTTTGGGGGGGAGGGGGGAGTTTGGAGAGAATTGGGTGAGTCAAATCCCCTGCGGTAAATGCTAGTTCACCGCCCCCCCCATAGGCATTATAGCCAGTGGGGTTGATTGGGAGAAAGACGTCTGTGAAGAAGTAGAAGTAAACGGACAGCAACCCCGGGAGAGGGCAGCATCTGACTGGGAAGGGGGCGGGGGGATGGGGAGGCAATTGACTTCAGGGAAAAGTGGGGGTGCTTCAGAGATGCTGGCTGTAGGAAATCTCGGGAAACTCTAGGTGCGAGGTGACCCAGTGGGCCATTGGCCCCGCGCTGGGCTGGAACTCGGCTCAGCCCCCTCTCTGGCGAGCTCTCCCATCCCTCCCTCCTTTCCTCCCCCCACTCTGGGTTGGGGCCTGACGTCAGGAGGGGGAGGTGGAGGGAACTGGAGCTGCCGAGAGGGAGCGGGAGAAGCAACGGCACGGGGAACCCCGCGACCCGGAGCCGAGCCGAGAAAGGGAGAGGAGCCCCGGGCCAGGGAGGGAGGGAGGGAGGGAAGGAAGGAAGGAGGGACACAGAGAGAGAGAGTGGGAGGAAGGCAGGCTGGGAGGAGGAGAAAGAGGAGAGAGCCGCCGCCAGAGCTGGAGGGACGCGAGGGCGGCGCCCGGGGATTTGAGCCGAGACAAGCCGAGCTAGCTTAAGAGGTAAGTGGGACCTGAGCTGCGCGGGGCGGAGCGGGGGGTGTTGGGGGGCTGTTCCCTGCGCTCTGCGCCGGGGCAGGCACTGGTCGCCAGGAGCTGCTTTGTGCCCCATCCGTGGAACCTCCCTCGCGGGGGAGGGGCTGGGTTTGGGGGGCCCAAGATGCTGTGGCGCCCCCATAGCTCTGGCACAAGTGTTCCTGGGGGGCTCTCCCCCGATCTTATCCCTCTCATGCAGCGTCACCCTTGGCACAGCGCGCCCTGAGCTCGGCGCTCCTGAGTGACCTCCTAGTCCAGTGGCTGAGGAGGCGGAGGAGAATTGCTAGGGTCTTAGAGGGGCACCCGGATCCTGCTTTCTTGCTAGGGTCCGATATCCAGGGGAAGGTCGTACTGGGGCTGCCTGTGAACCGAGGCAGGTAGCGTCTCTCCCCTTTAATTTTCTTGAAGACCCCTGGCTCCTCCCCGGTTGTCCTCTTTTCCCCTCGGGCTTGGTCCCAGCTGGCCCCTGAGAGTTGCCCCCCGTCTTGCTCCCCCCCACCTCCTCCCACTAGCGATGGAAAGTTTGGGGCGGGCTCCAGCTATGGCTGGTGCGTGATATCGGATTTCCCCACGGTACCCCCCCTTTCCTCCGCCCCCAGTACTTCCCGGGGCGCTGAGCCCGCGAGTGAGTAGAGTGGATAGGACACAGGCTTTCTCCCCCAGACTCCCGAGTCCCTGATTCTGGAGACGATCTTTTGCTTGCTACGACTCAGAACCCAAAGAGAGTAGGTTGCTTGCTCCAGCCTCCACCCCCTAGGGAGTTGTGAGCGCCTCGGGGCGGAGTGACCGGGGCGGGGGGGGGTCTCCTTCTGGATATTGGAGCACCCACTTCTCCCCCTCCCCGCATGGATCTGTTGCGGGTGGGAAAGGGGAGTAGAGGGTACTGGCCGCTGTTTGTGAGTTGAGAGGAGAAGCTGGGGGTAGGGGCGCCGTTGTCGGACTGAATTATGCTGGCTAGCTTCTTGGGCTCAGCTCCTCCCTGGGAACATAGAAGGAGTAATGGGGGGTCTAGGGGGTGGGGGAGGAGTAGAAGTGCCCCCCCCCATGTGCTAGGGTTTATGCCGGCAGGGGGCGTACGCTGGCCATGCCTCCGCCACGCTCCCGGCTCCTCGGCTTTGTTTGGATTCAAATCCCCGGAGCTGTGGGGAGGTGGGGTGGGGGTGGGGGTGTGCATGCTCTCCCTAAAGACCCTTTTTTGGGGGGAGGGCCCCACCTCCTGTGTCACCTTGCTCCACGACATTATCTGCTCTTCCCTCCCTCCCCCCACCCCAGGATGTGGGAATGGAGAGCTGCCCTGGCACTGGGATCTAGCTGGCCCTCCCAGAGGCGAGGGTCCCTGGGGTGCGCAGTCCACAACTTGGGGATCTTAGCCCAGCCTTGGTTCTGTGCTTGCTGAGTGCCAGGTCCGCCCATCCCCTCCAAACTCCCTTCAGGTCCTAGGTGGAACCCCCTTTCCAGTCTTCTTTGTATGAACAGAGGGGAGTTGTTTGATTAGAGCTGAATCCTCCTGGTTCTCCCCCTTCTCCTTTGGCTGGTGTCTCCTGGGAGGCTGCCCGAGGGACCGACAGGATGAAGCCCTGGTCATTTCCACGCCCATCCCACCCACTTCCTGCCTCCCTTCTGGGGGGAACAAAGGGGGATTTAGTAAGCTGGGCCCTGTCACCTCAAGGCCTGCCCTTCGGTTCTGCTTCTGTGCAACTGGCCAGGTCGAGGGGCTGGAGCTATTGTTTCTGCCCTGTGGAAGGCAGGGTCAGAGGTGGGGGAAGGTAAAGATGACAGGCTTCTCCGTCACAGCTCCTCAAATCAGACCCCTTGGAAAGCTGGATGACTCCCCTCCTCTCTAGTGGAAACTGGGCAATTCTGGGTGGACAGGAGTTGACTGAGCTCTTGAGATGGGATGGAAAGCTGGGAGCTTTGGAGAGGCTGGTCCTGCTTCCAGAGCAGATAAAAACCAAACCATTCAATAGTGGAGAGAGGGTGAGAGGAGGGGCTACTTTTCCCCCTTTTTATTTTTTAAACAACTTCCTGTAGAAGGGGGAGGGGGAGGGGCAGGAGGAGAGGGTTAAAGCCAGGGAACTGCTCCTTGGAGTCTAGGAGGATAGGAAGTGTTCCCCCCCCCAGCTGACTCAGCCACCCACCCCCCTCCTAGATAAAGAGCAGGAAGTTTTGGGGGGAGGGAAGAGAAAGGAAAAAGAAGATGGGGGCCACCCCTCTCGATAAAAAGGACGGCTGGACCAGAGGTAGTGGACTTAGGTAGATACCCCTATCAGGTGGTTGGCTAGTGGTTGCTTTGTGTGGTCTTTTGAACTGACCACTCCCTGCAATTTCTGATTTGCCGTCCCTGGCCCTGCTCCTGACTCTTTCTCTTTCCTTAGGTAGGGCTTCGGGTGCAGAGCCAAGGGCCAGGGGGCAGGCACCATGGGCCCATGCTTGGGCATCTGGCTGGTGGCATCGGCACTGCTGGGCCTGGGCTCTGGGGACAATGCCTGGTGGAACCCTGTGCCCAGGAAGACCGTGTCTTATGGGGGTGAGTGCCTCAGGCTGTGGGGGACGAATAAGTGGGGAGGGGGAGGAATAAGCAAGAACTGCTTCTTTCCCTCCATTCTGACTCCTTGCCTTGTTCTCTGATCCCCACTGACTCTTGGTGTTGCATGCTTTCTAAGAAACCTTTGTGGGTAGCTCAAGGGACATAGAGAAAGGAGCAAAACAGAAGTCTTGGTGTCTCTTCCTGACATTTTCTGTGCCCTTGAAAGCATCAGCCCTCTCCCAGTCTTAGCTGCTTCTGTTTTATTGAGGGTTTTTATATAGCAAAATCACTTCCCTGCATTCTGTGCTTCTTGAACACCCAGGATACTAAGGTTTAGAGCTTGAAGAAGACCGGTCCAACTCCATTAATTTGCAGATAAGGAAACTGAGGCCTGCAAGGGGTGGTGATTTTCAAAGCCACAAAGGTATTAAGTCACAAACTCTGGCCTTGAACTTGCATACTCCGATTCCAAAGGTAATGTTCGTTCCATTGTACCAGCTGCTTGTAATGCTGGAAGACTAAGGAAAGAAACTAGAGCCAGTTTGAGGGAAGGCTGTAGGATGTACAACCTTTCTTCATCTAGTTGCTACTCCGCAGCCTCCCCCCCCACCCCGTACTCTAGGGAGCCTGCTTACCTTTTCGACTTCTTATTGATCAGAGCCCTTACTTCCTTTCTGTAGTGGCACACCAGACACAGTATGAGACTGACAGGGGGCCCCTGTTGTGGCTTCCTTCCCTATTTCCCCCAGCCTGTGGCAGCCAGGTGATGTCAGGTGTTTGTGTCACCTGTAGGCCCTGGGGATCTCAGGATGAGATCATCTCCCACAGGCCCCATGTTGGATGCTGATGAAGCCCTCCCATGCCAGCCTGTGTCCGGCTACGTCATTGGCTCTGGAGGCCAAGGGGATGGGGAGAGAAGGACCCTGAGGATAGACTGGCGGCTATTTTGAGGACCTGTGTCTTGTGAATGTGTGAACCTTGTAGACTAGCTTTGCCTATTGTACTTTTCAGGTGACTAGGGGCAAAACAGGGTTCAGCACTTAACCTTTGGCCTAGGCCCATCCCATTGTTATGTCTTATGCTTCCCAAACTTTATAGTGCCCTGATCTTCTTTCTGCTAATGCCTCCTCTCCTCTCTGTCTCCAGCCACTCTGATTTCCTTCCCACATGTTCTATTCCCCTATAGGGATAGGGACTGGGGTCTGTGATTTCATTGGTATAGGGAACACACAGGTGAGGAAACTCCTTTACTTATGTAGACGCTCACCTTCTTTGCCTTCTTATAATCTTAAGAAGACGTTAATGTTAACATGTTAATGTTGAGATGTTAAGTGACTTGCTTAGGATCACATGAAGTATGCATCAGAGATACTTCACTTGACCCATGTGACCCATATCTTACTGGCTCTAAGGCTAGCTTATTAGCCTTATGGTTCAGCTATTGTGGCTTCTAGTTGCTCTTTTCTACTTTCATATCCATTGTATCTCAGGAAGGGAATAGCTCAGTGATGGGATTGGGTCTTTTCTGACCCTGTGACTCCATTTTGCCAGCTCTGTACCCCCTTCTTGGGTGAGGGCATAAGGAAGGCCTTATAGATGCCATGTCCAAGGCCAGAGTCTGGCTAGGCTCTAGCATCAGATGGGTGTGCAAAGGAGGAAGCGGGAGTGGAGGAAAGGAAGTTGGGAGGGGGAAGGTCTCCTCTCACCGGAGGTGCCGCTGACCCTGAGCGCCGTCTGTCTGATGGCTTCCTTTGGCTAGAGGCTGTGGCCGGGATATCCTTCCTTCCTCCTTGCTAGTTATGATTTACTCCCTCCCAAGCCTGGGAAAGGGTGAGAGACCTAGGTGGAGCTTCTGGGAGCTGAGGGCTGCACCTACCAGTGCCTTCCCCTGCTTAAGACTGGTAAAGCACCACGAGCTGCTTTGACTGTAAGGGGGGAGCTAATAATAGTGGGGAAAGTGGGCAGATTATTAATTTTGATTTTTGCAGGGGAAGCTAATAGGTGATGAGCACAGGGAAGAGCAAGGCCTTTGCCTTCTTCCCACTCCCTTCCTCTCCACTGACCACCTTTATTGTCACACAGAGTTGGCATCTGTGGTGAGGCGGTTCTCTCAAGTGGGCATCCAAGACTTTCTAACGTTGACATTGGCTGAGAGCAATGGGGTCCTCTACGTGGGGGCCCGAGAAGCCCTTTTTGCCCTCAGCTTGGAGACCTTGGAGCTGCAGTCAGCGGTGAGAGGCAGGAGAAGTGAGAGTGACTCAAGGTGGAGGGGACCTGGGGTTTGGATGGGGCTGAGGCACATTGAGCTAGTGCTGACACCCTCCCCCTTTCTTCTTATCCCTAGATCACATGGGAGGCTACAGTGGAGAAGAAGGCTGAATGTATCCAGAAGGGGAAGAGCAACCAGGTGGGAGATTCTTATGGCACTGGTGGGCATGAAGGATGGGAAGACAAAATGGAGAGTTAAGTTGGAGACCTTAGGTCCCTTTTCTGAATATCTGATCTCACTTTATTTTTAAGAACTTACGTTTCTTCCTTCCCCCCATGCTTCCCGTGCCCTCAGTGTTGCTTTCTTTAGCTATACTTTGCCCCAAGTCACATGCCCTTTGCCTTTTACAGAATGTTTCTCTCTTCATAGACGGAGTGTTTCAACTTCATCCGCTTCCTGCAGCCATACAACTCTTCACATTTGTATACCTGTGGTACCTATGCTTTTCAGCCAAAGTGCACCTACATTGTGAGTACTGCCCTCCTGACAGCCTGCACTCCTTCTCTAGACCTCTGAGACTGCTGCCTCTCAGTCTTGGTCTTCTTTTCCATCCTAGGATGTACTCACCTTCTCTCTGGAGCATGGGGAGCTTGAAGATGGGAAGGGCAAATGTCCCTATGACCCAGCCAAAGGCCACACTGGCCTCATTGTGGGTAAGAGGCTGTACCTTGATGGATATTGGGATCATGAGGAATTAGCCCTTGCTTGCAAGTGAATGCTCACCTGGAATCCTTAACTGGGTTATCCTTTGTCTCCCATAGATGGTGAGCTATATTCAGCAACACTCAACAACTTTCTGGGTACAGAACCAGTAATTCTGCGCAACCTGGGGCCTCACTATTCCATGAAGAATGAGTACCTTTACTCTTGGCTCAATGGTGAGCCTTGTGATGGGAGCTTTGCTGGTGGGGTGCTGTGTGTTCGAAGGATCGGGGACGACCTCAGCTCTGAGATCGAGTGGCCAGATGTCTCCCTGCACTAACTCTTCCCTCCCTTTGCCAACAGAACCCCATTTTGTTGGCTCTGCTTATGTGCCAGAGAGCGTGGGGAGCCTCACAGGTGATGATGACAAGATCTACTTCTTCTTCAGCGAGCGGGCCGTGGAATACAACTGCTATGCAGAGCAGGTGGTGGCCCGTGTGGCTCGAGTGTGCAAGGTACAGAAGGCAGTAAGATGGAACACTGGCTGGAGGGGGGAGCCAGGACAGAGGTCTGGAGAGAAAGCCGCAAAGGCCTGGCCCTCATCTGGATGCTCAGGCCCTCCTGGAATTGGTGGAGATCAGGGCCTCCACAGGGAGGAGGTTGGTGAGGCTGCCTCACTAGACTCCTTCCTTCCCTGACACAGGGAGATATGGGAGGTGCACGGACGCTGCAGAGGAAATGGACCACGTTCTTGAAGGCCCGGCTGGTATGTGCTGCTCCTGATCGGCAGCTCTACTTCAATCAGCTTCAGGCCCTACACACCCTGCGAGAAGCAAATTGGCTCAACACAACCTTCTTTGGGGTCTTTCGGGCCCGATGGTAAGTCAGAGGAAGAGATGTCCAAAGGTGGGAGAGAGCAGCAGGTTGGGGAACACTGAAACATCCAGGCAGTCAGCTGTCCTCTACCCAGTTGCCAGGGCAGTAATAACTCACATTTCTGAAGTGATTTAAAAATCAATAAGGGAAGAGGAGGCTGAGTATCAGATATTGTTGCTATGTAAGCATTTCAGGGATCTTAGGCCTGGGAGAGCAATTTGAGTACCAGGTAGCAGCAGAAGTGTGAAGTGGTGAAAAGAACACTGGCTTTGGAATCAAAAGACATAAGTTTAGACCCTGGCTATGCTACCACCTTTGTGACCATTTAATCTTTGTGGGCTTCAGTTTCTTCAGCTTTAAAATGAAGGGTTGTACTAGATTATCTTTAAGGGTTCCTTTTAGTTTTAGATTCCTGTGGTCCTAAGAATTATGTTGGGCTTCTAATTCTAGAATGTGTTCCAAATTTTGAACTCTGGAATTTTGTTAGTTCTAAACTTAATGTAGGTAGAGCAGCAGTAATAATTTTTTTTGGCCCAGACCGGTGATTTCATTGGTGTAGGGGAGCTGCTGGTGAATGAGATGTGTTTAGTTTTAGCTAACTAGCTCTGTCACCCTGGGCAGATAATTATGTGTCAGAAGTTGTCCATGCACCTGGGTCTTCCTGACTCTGAGGACAGACCTCTACTGACTACAATAGAATGCCTCTCAATGATGACCACACTTCACATTTATATAAACAATGTAAGGCTTTATCAATCAATTAACAAAAATGTATTATGGTGCCAAGCACTGCAGATACAAAGACAGAAATGAAACAATCGCTGTTTTCGAGGTCATGTAAAAGTATATACAGTATCAATAGAAAACATATACAAGGTAGTTCAGGGAAGAAAGGCTCAAGCAGTTCGGGGATCAGGAAGGGTTTACAAATGCTTTCCTTGTAGAGTCCTGTGAGGTGCACAGCACAATTATGAACATCTCCATTTTCTAGGCTCAGGGAGGCTGCATCACAAGGGGAATAAGTATCAGAGCCAGGGCATACCCGTGTAGGGCTTCTGCTTCTAAGACCAGTATTCTTTGCACTAAACCCCTCTCGAGAGCCAAATGTAACATTCTCATCTCCTTCCTTGCTCCTCAGGGGAGATGTGGACCTGTCAGCTGTGTGCCAGTACCAACTAGAAGACATTCAGCGAGTGTTTGAGGGGCCCTACAAAGAGTATCAGCAACAAGCCCAGAAATGGGGTCCTTATACTGACCCAGTCCCTAGTCCTCGGCCTGGCTCTGTGAGTCTCCATGGTGGGAGGAAAGCAGATGGCAGAGACCCTTGTACTTGCCGCCTACGGTTGGTCCTGGGGCTGGGTACCAGCCCTTGCCTTGGGATGACAGTCTTCCCTCTCCTTCCCCAGTGCATCAACAACTGGCACCGACGTCATGGCTACACCAGTTCTCTGGAGTTGCCTGATAACACCCTTAACTTTGCCAAGAAACACCCCCTGATGGAGGGACAGGTGGGACCTCGGTGGGGTCGACCCCTGCTGGTGAAGAAGGATACCAATTTCACTCACCTGGTGGCCGATCAAGTGAAAGGGCTTGATGATGTGACCTATTATGTGCTGTTCATTGGGACAGGTATGGTTTTAAGAGGTGTGGGATTAGAGGTATCAAAGGTGTCCTCTATGAAGGGGATATGGTAGGAACCCTTATTTTTTTCTTTTAAAATGTTTATTGCAGCTCTTTTACATCACTGTCTCTTCCCCAAACCACTGTACCATCTCCCACCCCATCCCCCAACCCCTCCTTTCTAACAAATGTAAAGCCAAAGCAAAACAAATCAAAACTTTGGCTGTTTCTGAAAATGTATGCCTCATTCTGTACCTATATAATCCACCACTGTTCTGTTGAGAGGTAGAAGGCATGCTTCACCATCAGCTTTCTGAAGTCATGACTGGACATTGCTCTGATCAGAGATCTGGAGTCCTTTAACGCTTTTTCATTTTACATGCAAATCATGCAAATTCTGGTTTTGCTCACTTACCATCAATTCATTTAGTTCATGCCAAATTGCTTGGAATTCTTCACATTTATCATTCCTTATGGTACAACAATAATTTCATTGCACTAATATATCACAGTTAGTTCAGCTATGCCCCACCTAATGGGCACCCACTTTCCTCTTAGTTCTTTGCCCATACAAAACATTCTGTAAGTATTTCAGTATGTGGAATCTTCCCTTTTTTCTTTGACCTCCTTGGAGGTATATGTCTAGTGGTGGTATTACTGGGTCAAAAGTATGTACAGTTGAGGGACTTTTAAAGTATAATTTCAAATTGTTTTCCCGCAGTTGGATCAATTTAGAACTCTATCAATAGTACATTAATGTGCCTGTCTTCCCACAGTCCCGCCAACATTTGCCATTTTCATTTTTGCCAACATGATTGATGAGTTTAAGGTGAAACTTCAGAGTTGTTTTAATCGGCATTTATCATTAATGATTTGGAGCATTCTTTTATATAGTTGTTGAAAGCTTATATTTCTTTCTTTGAAATGCTTTTGACCGGCCTGTTATTTGACCCCTTATTTATTGGGGATTGTTACTCCCTTTTTTCTCTGTTTTGTTCCCATCAGAGGATGGCTGGCTCTACAAGGCTGTGAACTTGGGTGCTTGGGTCCATGTGATTGAGGAGCTACAGGTGTTTGATAAGGAACCAGTAGAGAGCCTTGTCCTGTCCTATGATAAGGTAGCATCAACTCTCTATGTCCCATTTATTGATACCTAGAGCAATTGTATCTTCCTGTATTTTCATCTCCCATTTTATTCTCTTTTTCCTCCTTTCCCAAACCTTTTCTTTTGAAGTTCTCTCTCTAAGTCACCCCCTGGGACTAAGAACTTCCTTTCTCCACCCTTTTATCCTTGCTGTCTCCTAAGGCTCTGCCTTGTCTCCTCCCTCTGTACTTTATTTCATTTAGTCCTGGCAGCATTTCTGCAGGGAGTGAGCTCCTGATGACCCTCCTCTTTCCCTGCCCTCCCCCCACAGAAGCTGCTCTTTGCTGGTTCACGATCACAGCTGGTTCAACTTCCCCTAGCTGACTGCAGCAAGTACAGATCCTGTGCTGACTGCATCCTTTCCCGTGATCCTTACTGTGTTTGGAGCACCAACACCAGTCGATGTGTGCCGCTTCGTGGTCACCTTAAGTGAGTTGTACTCCATGTCCCAAGGGAGTGAGATGTGGAGAGTTGGGGTGGTGGGTGCTCTTCCTAACTCTGGCTTCCCCCTCCCTTGCTAGATCTCCATTTGTCCAGGATGTGGTGAATTCAAACACAGGCCTTTGCAACCTTCGACCTAGCAAGAAAGGTGAGTTGCCTTTTTGTTCAAAGGCAGGTGGGATGGCATCTACCATGACTATATTAGGTTCCACAGACTGTTCTCTATGTAGAATATAGAATTCTCTATATAGAATGTTCTCACCTCTAGAAGATTGCTGAATTGGGTTGAGTGGGCAATGGCCAGAAGAAGTAGCCCATGTCCCTTCTATCCCCAAAGTTTCTGACACTAAATCCTCCCATTATTCTTTCTCCTACAGTTAAAATCACTCCCAAGAACATCACTGTTGTGTCAGGAACAGATTTAGTGCTCCCATGTCGCCTCTCCTCCAACCTAGCACATGCTCGTTGGACTTTTGGGGGCCGAGAACTGCCAGCTGAGCAGCCCGGGTCACTCCTCTATGATGTCCGACTGCAGGCCCTGGTGGTATTGGCAGCCCAGCCCCGCCACGCTGGTGCCTATCATTGTTTCTCTGAGGAGCAGGGAGCACGGCTGGCTGCTGAGGGCTACCTGGTGGCAGTAGTAGCTGGTCCATCAGTGACACTGGAAGCCCGAGCCCCCTTGGAGAATCTGGGGTTGGTATGGCTTGCAGTAGTGGCCCTAGGGGCCTTGTGCTTAGTATTGTTGCTTCTAGTGTTATCACTTCGACGCAGATTGCGTGAAGAATTAGAGAAAGGGGCTAAAGCAGCTGAGAGAACCCTAGTGTACCCACTGGAGTTGCCCAAGGAGCCCACCAGCCCCCCGTTCCGGCCTGGTACTGACACTGACGAGAAACTCTGGGACCCCGTTGGTTATTACTACTCAGATGGCTCACTAAAGATTGTACCTGGCCATGCCCGCTGTCAGCCTGGTGGAGGACCCCCTTCACCGCCTCCTGGAATCCCAGGCCAGCCCCTGCCTTCTCCGACCCGACTTCACTTAGGGGGTGGACGCAGCTCAAATGCCAATGGTTATGTGAGACTACAGCTAGGCGGAGATGATCGGGCAGGGCCTGTGCATCCTTTGCCTGAGTTAGCAGATGAACTGAGGCGAAAACTGCAGCAGCGTCAGCCACTGCCTGACTCAAACCCTGAAGAGTCATCTGTATGAGAGGAGCCCCCCCAAAACGGGGGGGGGGTGTGCAGCTCCGACTTTTGCACAGGCACCAGCTACCTCAGGGACATGGCTGTAGGCACCCTGCTCTGCCGGGGATAGACAGGGAATTGCCCTGTCTAGGTTGGCTCCTACCCAGCAACCTGTTCTGCCATGGGGACCTGCCCTGCTCATCGTGGGCTCTGCCATGTGGGTTTGCTCTGTACTGGGCTTTTGCCTTCTGGTCACCAACCCCACAAATGGCCTCTTCTTCCTTACATAGAGAGGAGGCCAAGGATCCTGCAGACAGACCTTTGGCCCCAGCAGCCAAAATCTTTTGAAGACAGAAATTTTCCAGGTGTGTGTGTGTGTGTGTGTGTGTGTGTGTGTGTGTGTGTGTGCATGTGTGTATGTGCATATGTGGGTGTATGTTTGTATGTAATGTGACTTTCCTGTTTCTGTCTAGTCTTCCCTGGCCTGGGGTCCTCCTAAGGCTTCTTCCTGGACCTATGAAGGGGAAGAGGCCTGGGGTTGTACCACTCTGCCTTCTTTGCCCCCACCTGCCCAGAGGCCTGTGATGGTATATAACCCCTTCTCAAGGGAATGGGGAATAGTGGGGCAGAGATGTACATATGGGAGTGGGGAAGGGAGGTAGGGTTGTACCCCCTTTTGAAAGTAAATGCTCAGGGGTGGGCCTGGGCCTATTCTTAGGGCTGTGAATGTTTTAAGAGTCAGGGGAGGGAGGTGGGGCCCTTTTGGGGGTGTGGGGAGGGGTTCCTACTTGGCCTTCTAGGGCTCAGTGGTATTTTATACTTGTGGGGAGGGGGTGGGGAAGGAGGGGGATTGTAGCTTCTCAGCACAGCCTCTCCCAGCAGGAGGAATAGGGGTCCTGACAGTGTAATTTATTGTGTCCCTGCATATTTATTTGTTGTAAATATTTGAATATTTTTATATTGCAAAATAAAAGAGAAAATAATCCTAAGCCCAGTTGCTGGGTGGTCGTCATAGATCTGTTTAGACCCTTCTAGAGTTTGAAAGAAGGGAGACTTGATGATGGCTAAGCACTGAAGGGAAGGCTTGGTGGGAAAAGGAGCTGGGAGCTCTAAGGAGCTGAGCAGGGGGTGGCCGATGAGGGGGAGCCCTTGTTCCAGAATTCTAGGGTGGCGAATCGGACTGTCGGCCCTCTGCCCTGCTGTGCTCTTTGTGGGGAGTGGGGGCAGCTCTGGCTCCAGTTGTTTCCCACAGTGGTGGCCAGGAAGCTGGGAACCAGGCAGCCACAGCCTCTTGGGAGCCAGCTTTGGCTCTGGGCCAATGGGAGAGGTCAGGGTAATAGGAGGTGGGGGTGGGGATAGAGGGAAAGAGTGAGACTTCCCAGAAACTGTTAAGGATTAGGGGGAGAGAGGGAGCCAAAGGAGGGGAACTTCCTAGAAACAGAGTAAGGCTGTGCGTGTGTTTGTGTACATTGGTGTGCGAAAGGTTGGGGCTCAAAAGCAATTTAGGGGGAGGAGGGATGATCTTAACCCTTTTGGCACCAGGGTGAGTGATGTCTGGTCCCCAGCCTAGTCTGACTCCATACACTTTGGCTTGAATGATGACCCCTCTAGAAGTACAGTCATATTTTCTGTACTACTTCTCCCTGACCAAAACTCCTTGGAATTCATCCTTCCCCCTCCCCAGTACAAATTCAGGAGTTCAGAAAAAAAAAATCCCTATTAAATGTAATCGAGAGAGTGGGTATTAAGGAAGTCAAGTTACTCAGTTCATTTAACAAATACTTAATAGGAATTTAATTTATTGAGTGCCTACTATGTATAGGGTATTTTAAGACTGATTGCAGGGAAGAAATATATATACTTAAGAGTGTGACATGCCCTACCTTTCAATGTAGTTGTGGAGATCACATGTACACACCTAACTACTGAGCAGTTTAAAGTAGATCTAAGAAGTGAGGAGTGAAAGCTGGATGGAGAGCAAGCCTTAATAGAAACAGGAGGGATTTTGATAGGTGAAATATTAAAAGTGAGTGGGAGGAAAGGAAGACATGTTCCTAAGGGAACAGCTTGGGCAAAGGTACCCAAAAACAGGAAAGGCAAATTTCATGTTTGAAAATTACTCCAGAGGGTTCTGTAGGGTAGCAGTTTGACATAAGACCATGAAAAGCTGCTAGGGGGCAGACTGTGGTAAGTCTTTGTAAGAGGATCTGGGGTTCCCTAGACCTCAGCTATTAGCTAGCACAAAGGAATACCATTTTTTGAGAACAGGCAGAATTTTGACATCTTGGACAGTTATCTCACTTAGCTTCCCCTTTGTGGGCTTTGGGGATAAGGGGACTATAATTCACTGAGAGGTAAGTGATAGAACACTCCTTTTACAGATAAGGCAACTAAGGCCCAGAGGGCTTAAAAGTGACAAATTTGGTGGATCATCGTTTTAGCAATGGAAAGGGCCTTAGCAGTCATATAATTTGAGCCCCAATACAAGGTCCCACAGGTGACCAACCTCAGAGGCAAGATACCAAGTGCTCTTTCCACCATGTCCTAGAGTGCCTCCATAAAATGATAAGGTGTAAAGTGATCAACCCCCCACACCTGTAAAAGGAGACAATGTATGCAAAGTGCTGTGCAAACCTTAAAGGATATACAGATGCAACCTACTATTACCTATAAAATGGGAATAATTACACTAGTATTGCCTCTCTCATAGACTTGAAGTCCCCCTTAATACTAATGCCTTCCCTCAGATTATCTCCAATTTAACAGGTATACTTAATACCTGGTATGTATCTAGCTTTTTGCATCTTTACTCCATTAGACTGCAAGCTCCTAGAAAGTAAGGCTGTTTTTGTCTTTCTCTATAGCCCCAGTGCTTGGCACAGCACTTACACACAGGAGGCGCTTAATAAATGCTTGCTGACCGGCCTGTACATGCGTAGTCTCCTATCACAAGTACCCGGCAGCAGGCCTCATTCGTAGAGCTGGAAGGGGCCTGTGAGATTATCATTACTAGGACAGTAGCGATCCCATGGTGGTCTTGGGCACGTAAGGGTTAGGGTGTGCCGACTGTGCCTCTGCAGACATTCTCGCCGTCCAGCCTGGGGCCCTGTCCGATAAGCACATCCCTAGAGCTGGAGCAGGCTCGCAATTGCTCGCAAGCGCAGGCGCAGTCCTGACCGGAGCCTCCCCGCCCCTCCCGCTCTCTCCCAGTCAGGTCACGCCCCTTCCCGCCACTGACGATCCTAGCACGCCCTCTGCCGGACACAGCGCCTCGGGTCCCCCACGTCCCGCCCTTCTTCTCCCCTTTGATTGGCTCACGGGGCCAAACCTTCGCCTTCCGATTGGTCGTCCAAGACTGGCATCGGACGATAAGATGGCAGCTGGCTGCCCAGCGCACCTACTGTAGAAAGTGTGGGGTCCGGGCTGGGAAAGCGGAAGAGTCGTTACCTCAAGCCTCAGCAGGCTAGCGCTCCGGCTACCTGCGCATGTCCCTGTCTGAGTACTGCCGGAAAACTACCTTGGCGACTAACAGTCAACAGCGTGAGCTCCGGGGGACAAGGGGCGGTAGGACGCGATGACGCAGTCGTGACGTACGCGTCCCGACGCAGCGTGACGCAAGGCGCTCCCATTCCCCACTTTTCTCCCCTGGGGCAGCTTGGTAGCTGCCTTAGGGTGAGCTGCCTCAGAGTGAGCTGCCTCGTGAGGACATGGCGGCGCCGCGGACCTGCGGGGACGCCTCCTGTTGCTCTCACCAGAGCGCCGTGCCCAGCGTGCAGCAGTCCCTGGAAGAGATGGACTTCGAGAGAGGTGGGGAGGGGCAAGAGCGAGGGCGCTGCGCTCGAGTCTGCAGTGGGAGGCCGCGGGGCTCTCGGGCAGGCCCGGGATGTGTGGAATTGAGGGACAGTTCCAGTCCTTCATCCTCACACTGTCTGCATCCTCTGCATCTGCTGTCTGCGGGACCAGCTTCTCTGGCATCCTACCAACGCTAGAAAGGGATTTAAAAGTTTTTTTTAATATGTATTTTTTTCTGTATAGCAGAGGAGGAAGCATAGGGATTCGAGGTGGAGGGACCTCAGTCCTCGTCGACCTCGTCTCCGCCGCCCCCCCCAGGTTGTTCAGGGGCAGAGGTCTGAGCTCTGAGCAGTACCGGCACGTGGGCAGGCGTCTGCTAAATGTGGGTTCGATTAAATCCAGACATTTCAATTTATCAAACACTTTATTAAGCACCTACCTAATGTACCGGGCACTGTGCCCCGCTTGGGGGATACAAAGACAAAAATAAGTTGTCCCTGCTTTCTAGGAGCTTATTGTGGGGGAGGGAACAATAATAGCTGGAGGGATTAAAAATTTACACAGACTCATTTATATATATATATGTGTGTGTCCTATGTATATGTGTGTATGTGTACATATGTGTGTAGATGTGTATGTACACACGTGTATGTGTATGCAGGGTGTATGTGTATATATAGCCTGGTTCAGTAACTCCATGTATATATATGTGTGTATATGTATATGTATAGCTTTAGTTATTTTTACCATTCTAGTGTTCTGTTTTTTTTCTTTTTTTTTTTTTGGTGAGGCAGTCAGGGTTAAGTGACTTGCCCAGGTACTGTTCTGTTTTTGAGGTGAGAGGGTTGGGAGGGGGAGAGGAAGGCATTGTCCCTTCCATGTGGGCCATAACAGGAAAGATAGCCTAATGTGGTGGAGAGAAGACTGATATGACAGGCAAGGAGATTCAAATCCTTTTTCCACCACTTACTCTGAGACCTTGAACAAGTCACTTTTCTGGACCTCCGTTTCCTCCTTTCTACAATGAGGTGGCTAGGTTGGGGGGGCGCCACAAATTTAGGTCCCTTCTAGTTTTAACCTGCTATGATGCCTATGAATGCCCTGTAACCATGCCCTGATTTTACCTTTGGGTCTCATCTGAAGGGATGGTAAAAGTGTTGTTTGGTTTTGGCTGACTCTTCATGACTCCTTGGACCATAGATTGTCCATAGGGTTTTCTTGGCAAAGATACTGGAGTGATTTGCTATTTCCTTCTCCAGTGGGTCGTCTTTTTCAGAACTCTTCACTGTGACCTGTTCAGACTTGGGTAACCCAGCACAGTATAGCTTATAGTTTTATTGAGTATGCAAGCCCCTCTGCTGTGACAAGGCATTGACCCTAGAGGGGTTGTAAAAGTACACTTGGGTTTTTTCCCTTACTAGACTATAAGTTTCATAAGGGCCTTTTCATATCTAAACTCCTGTTGTTAAACTTTTATTTTATTGCTTTATAATAAATTTGATTATTCAGATATTAAAGAGTGGAATTAAAATCACTGTGTAAAGACTGGAGCAGTTTCTCTCAAGTTCTGCCTCTATGCTCCTTGCCTCCCCCTGCAAGATATAATATAATAAACAAAATCTAGGCCTTAGGCTTTAAATCTAGAACTTGAAGGTCAAAAGGTAACTGGCCTTGGAGAGTGGCAAGAATGAAATCCATATGTCTCATGCTCTAAAACTCTTTTCACAGGGATCTGGTCAGCAGCACTGAATGGAGACCTAGGACAGGTGAAACATTTCATTCAGAAGGAAACAGACCCCAGTCAACCTGATCCTTCTGGATACACTGCCTTGGTAAATTTGACATCTTAAAGAGTTTGAGGAGAAATAATCACCTTAGGTTCTAGATTTGGACAAGGCAAGAGGAGAGGCTTGAATTAAGGGAAGAATGGCAACTGTAGAGAAGGGATGTAAAATCAGCGCAAAAGGACTCACTAGATGGAAGAGAGTTGTTTAAAAATAATTCAAGGAGACACAGTTAAGATAGTGGAGTAAGAGGAAGTAATTGAGCCTAGCTTGCTACTATGCCTTCTCTACACCAATCTAGAAAACACACCAGTCCACATTCTGAATGAGAAAGCCAAGAAAAAGTCACAGTGAATCATTTTTCCAGCCCAGGTCAGCTTTGGAGAAGTGTGCAGACACTGGGAATGGGGGCTGGCTAGGAGCTTGAATGGTGGTAGTAGGAAGCATTCTGAGATCCAGGGACAGAAAGGAGATCTCATAATTAGTACTAGGTGCAAAAATGTGTGCCATCTGGCAGCTGTGTCACCTATTACCTAGCTTCTGGTCATAGATTCAGGACAGGGAAAATCTGTCAAGAACATGGGCCTCGTGCACTGAATAAGGAACAAGTTCTGGAAAACTAGCTGTATGTGTCTGGTCCCAAGAACATAGAAGAAAGTCAGGTGTAGCCTTTAGCCCAGAAGCTAAGCCTGCACTGGAATAACTAGGGCAAGAGTCCCAGATGAAAAGGGAGTTGGCAGTTTAGTTGCTCCATACCTGCAGAATTTCCCAGTGAGCTAATAGTAACTGAGTCTGATAATAGTCTTCTGAAACTCTTAACCATACACAAGCCAACAGACTCAAATGTAAGTCAGGAAATTGAAGAGCTCAGACTAGGACAGCAGTGAACAGATCTCTCCCCAGGATTATCACTTTGAGAGCACTGAAAACTTGAAGGTTCTCAGACTGAGCTGTGAAAACAACGGAAGGATTTAAAAGAATAGAAGTGCAGGTCAGACATCCCCAGGAGTGTAGAGCCCAGCACTATCGTAAAGCCTGAAGTCAAGAAGTAAGCTGGAAGAATGAGTTAATAAAAAAAGAATCCTCCACCATAAAGAACTACTATTATAACAGGAAATTCAAGACACAAAAAAGAAAAAGAATTACTTGACAACAACTGCAAGCAAAGCTTCCAAGAAAAATGTGGCTTACCCATAAGTCCAACAAGAATTCCCAGAAGAATTAAAAGTTAAAAAAAAGAGCTAAAGATGATTTTAAAAAAATAAATGAGAGCTATGGAAGAAAGATATTAAAAGAGACTTAACAGCTTGGAAAAACCAGTAAAAAAAAAACACCTTACCAAAGAAAACAATTCCTTGAAAATTAGAATTGGCCAAATGGAAAAACAATCAAAAATAGTCAAAATAAAATAAAACAGTCAAAAATCTGAAAAAAATTGAAGAAAATGTGAACTATCTCATTGGAAAAACAACTAAGCTAGGTGGCGCAGTGGATAGAGCACCTGCCCTGAAGTCAGGAGGACCTGAGTTCAAATCTGGCCTCAGACCAAACACTTGACACTTAGTAGCTGTGTGACCCTGGGCAAGTCACTTAATCCTGATTGCCTAAAAAAAAAAATAAAAAAGCAACTAACCTAGAAAACAGATCAAGGAGAGTTAACTTAAGAATCATTAGACTATGGATAGAGCACTGGCCCTGGAGTCAGGAGGATCTGAGTTCAAATCTGGCCTCAGACACATAACACTGTCTAGCTGTGTGACCCTGGGCAAGTCACTTCACCCCATTGTCTAACCCCCCCCAAAAAAAAAAAGAATCATTGGACTCTGAAAGCTAGGAATAAAAAAAGAACCTAAACATCATACTTTAAGAAATCATGAAATCAAACTACCCAAATATCTTAAAACCAGAGGCCACAGTGGAAAATGGAAAGAAGCCATTGGCCACCTCCTGAAATTCCCAAATGAAAATTCTCAGGAATATTATAGCCAAAATCCAGAGCTCCTGGGTTAAGGAGAAAACATTGCAAGTAGCCAGAAAGAAACAATTCAAGTACTGAGGAGCCACAGTCAGGATCACACAAAATTTGGCAACCACTACATTGAAGGAATGGAGAGCTTGGAATACCCTGGAAAACGGGGGTGGTGCTGGAACAATTGGGGAGGGGGAGCATCATGGTAGTAGTTTGAAATAAAAAAATTTTTAAAGCATTAAAGGATTAAAGAAGGTAGATTGGGGGGGTGCTGAGTAATTTTTTTTAAAAAATAGGTGCAGTAGGCCAAATAAGTTTGGGAACCTCTGTAAGTGTAAAGGATCTAGGCTTATAGCCAAGAGTAACCTACCCAGTAAAACAGTATAATCTTACAATGGGAGGGGGAGAATGGATCTTTAACAAAATAGAGGTTTTCAAAGCATTCTTGATGAAAAAATCTGATGTGCAAACATAAGAGTCAAAAGAAGCACACCCCCAAAAAGATCAGAGAAAGAGGAAAACGATTCATATACAAAAATATGATAGCAGCCCTGTTTGTGATGGCAAAGAGTTGTTAATCAGTTGGAGAGTGGCCAAACAAGTATGAGAATGTGATGGAATACTATTGTGCTGTAAGAAATCATGGTGGGCATGGTTTCAGAAAAACCTGGGAAGACTTACATGAACTGATGCAAAAAAAAGCAGAATCAGGGAAACAATTTATGCAGTAACAACAATATCATAAAAACAGTTATCTCTGAAAGACTTAGTAACTGTGATTAACATGGTTAACAACCATAGTTCCAAAGGACTTATGATGAAATGTGCTTTCCTCCTTTAGATAGAGAAGTGATGGACTTAAGAGTACAGATTGAAGGATATTTTTCTTTTCTTTCCTTTTTATTTTTGGACATGTATGATTCAGGAATTTGTTTTGCATGACTACATACATTTGTGATGAGTTTTGTTTTTCATTTGGTAGGGGAGGGGGAGGAAGGAGAGAATTTGGAACTGAAAATAAAATAAAACTGAATAAAAACAGATGAATATTTGGCCTTTTACTCCTTTATTCCTATCTTTCTCTTCCTTCAGAGTTGGCTCTTAGGCTTAAGGGTAAATCCCAGTTCTGATTTCCATTGATTTGATTGCCTATAGCACTATGCCAGTCGAAATGGGCACTATGCTGTGTGCCAGTTCCTCTTGGAGAGTGGAGCCAAGTGTGATGCTCAGACACATGGGGGTGCAACAGCTTTACACCGAGCCAGCTATTGTGGGCATACTGAAGTGGTTCGACTACTGCTGTCCCATGGAGCCAATCCAGGTGTGGCAGATGATGATGGAATGACTAGCCTACACAAGGTATATATCAGTTTTCAAACATACTTGCTAATTAATTGGAATGAGGGAAGGAGGGATCTGTGTCATGAATAGTTAAATCAGGTAGGGATGATAACTAGTAGCTAGGAATTGGCTTTTTTCAACAGGTCTCCCTTTGGGATAGTGACAAACAAGGTAGTAATGAAGCAATGGCTTTAGAACCAAGACAGGTAATCCATAAAGCAGTCTATACCATTGTCAGAATTTGCCTTTTATCCCTGGCTCTTTGATGGGAAAATCAAACCAGAAAGAATCAAACTGAAAGTCATTTTATTTCCAAGACATTAGAATAGTGACTGTCTTTTATGAGATAAGGTAGTTCTGTTGGGGCTTCGGGGCACAGCAATGGAGAAACCTCAGGGAAGAAATGTCAGAGCTGATTTAGTATGCCTTAGGAGAACTTTGATTCCCTCTTTCTCCTCCTGATGGTTGTTTTCCTTCACAGGCTGCTGAGAGAGGTCACTTGGATCTGTGTTGCCTCCTGCTGCAGCATAGCCCAGCTTTGAAAGCTGTTCGAGACCGAAAGGCCCGGTTAGCATGTGACTTACTGCCTTGCAACAGTGACCTTCGAGACCTGCTTGCTAGCTGAATAACCAGATTCCTGTCTCAGCAACAATTCTGGAATCTGGATCCTCTACCCCTGCATTCTACAGAGTGGGAAACCGAAACTCAGGGCTTGTGAGACTGGACAAAAGAAATAGGATCGTCCTGAGAGAGGTCACTGCCCAGGCCAGGAGGGGAACTTGGTGTAGGCGCTCAAGCCTGACAGGTGATCATATTCTAAATTAGCACATGTGGAAATGCCTAGCCAAGCTATTTCCCTAGTTAAGAGTCGGTACCAATGACCAGATAATTCTTAAGGGGGAAACAGCTTCTGTCCCACACCGCAGAACAACCCTTTTTCTTAGAGTAAAATATTCTTCTCCTCTAATACCCTGATAACCCAGTGAGTTAATCTTGTTATGGGGCAAATAATGAAAAATAGAGTCAGACTTATTTTTACTTTAGTATTTTGCTGGCAGTCATAAACAACTCTTTAGTGCCCTTAAAACTGAAGGCAAGAAATCATCTAAAATCTGTCAAAACTACCAGGAAGCAAAGTGTTAGTAGGTTAAAGAAAATCCCAAGGCATTGGGTCGCTTGGACATTAAAGCATTAAAGCACTTGCAAGGAAAATAGCTCTGATGGTGTTGCTCATTTTGGACTACTTGACTTGGGTGAGAATTCAACAAGCAGCTTGGTATAGTGGAGAGAGTGCTGGATTTGGAGTCAGAATCTGGGTTTAAATCTCAGCCCCATGACTACTTTTGTCATCCGTAGATGAGCTGGTTAGACAAGATGATGTCAAAGTTCTCTTCCAGCTCTAAATCCATCTTTTAACTCCTTGCTCAGTGAATCTCCCTTGGTCACTCAATCTTAAGAACTTTAGTTTGCTGTCTCCCCCCCCCGCCCCGCGCTTTGCAGTCCTCTGTTGGTCTGGTTATGGAATCATCTTTCCATTGAAGGTCAGGATTTTAACCAGCCAGATAAAGAGTTGGACTACCTTTAAGAGAAATAGGCACAGCTTATTTCAGGGGAATCAGGGAAGAAAAGTATGGAATTGGATTTTGTGGTTGGGAATACGTAACAGGAAGAGGACTCTTTACAAGCTACAGCTTCACTTGGTCCAATTATGAGAAAAAGGTTCCTGTTCATGGACAGAGGCCATGCAAAGACCTACTTTAAATTGGTTGGGGAGCTCAATTCTTGCTGCCTATTCCTATGAATATAGGCTTAACATTTTTAATAAAGGAAAACAAAGTGCTCGCTCCATAACCTAATGATTTAGCGATTGACAGGGTGCTGTGTGTCTAGAGTTTGTGTCTGGGGTTATCATCCTTTTTTTGGAATGAGTACAGTTGGTGATGGGTTACGCTTGGCTTGTGTACATTTAGCTTAAGAAATTCAAAATTCATGATTTACAGGAGAAGAAAAGTAGGGAGATGTTGGAAAGAGAGTTAATGGAATTATCAGGCAGTGGGGAATAGAGTGCCTTGGTCAGTCATTGGATGAAGTTAGTTTTCTCTCAAGGTGACACTTCTGGGTTTACCAGGCCTTTGCTGAACACCCTATTGTATCTACAGATAGTTCATCAAAGGCACAGAATCCTACCTCTTTCTTGGCAAATATGGTGTTTATTTTCACACTCCTTTTGGCATTTATGCTGCTGTAGAATAACATGGGGACTATAAGCTTAGACCTTGTGACCACTCCTCTGTTTAAATCCGGGCTTGCTGGATGATCGTTTGAAATTATGGTCCTGCTACACTTACACTCATACACTTGGGCTAGACTCCCCAGGGTCATCTCTGCTAAGATTGATTTGCCAGTATTTAAAGACGCCACATAGAAGGTGTCAGGGAGTAATGGGATACGACTGACTCAGCTCATAACAACACCGTATCCTGGCCTTAGCTGGGTCCTATTTCAAGGCCGGTATTTTAGTTAGTTACAGAACCACTTAACTATCTCTGACCCTGTGAGCCTTGGCTTCATCCCTGGCTCCAAACTGGGCTCTTTCTGTGCCCTCTATCTCTGTGGCAGCAGTGCTGATATAAAAAGCAAACTGCCGCTCAGCTAGCCATAGTGGGGGAGTGAAGATCAGGGGGGGACCGTGGATTTCATCAGCATTCAGCAATTGGTAAGCTGGGGGCTATGGAAAATGGGAAGCTCTCATATTTTTTTTTACATCTTAAAATGAGAGTTTCATGTAGGGAATCCCAGAATTTACTATTTATACTTTTGTCTCAGAGAAGTTTTGTTGTTGAACTAGAGTTTAGGTAGCAGCCAGAATATTTCAGAATATTAATACTAACTAAGCTGGCAATTACTTTGTACTTTCCCATTTTTCCTGATCTGCTCCTGTTCTAAAGTCCTCACTGTGTGTCGCTAGACAACAGGCCTACACAATCTGTGGCTGCCACTTACTGTCCACCAGGCAAAGGACTGCCCCTCCATACAAAGGATGTTTTCTTCTGCAGGCCACCTAACTCATTTGGCATAAGCGCCCCCGGGCCACACGTTGTGCAGACCTGCCCTACAGCTAGCCCTCCTGATTGCCTAGCTGTGTTTAATTCAGAAGGCTATTCCTTCGTTTGTGAGAAGTGAGGACTTTTAAGAGCCATGAATTGCTCAAGCCCTATCCCTTCCCCAAAGTTTGTTATCTCAGTTCCAGTGTGTGGAAGATAGAATGTGGTGTTTGTGGGGATAGAGTTGTTAGGGTATCATGTGTATAGACCTCTGATTTTTTGGGGAGTTCTGCCATGGATCGTTAGGATTAGGAGGACTGGGGATGTCTCAGCCCTTCTGGCAAACGTGTCAAGCCAGAGTGGTGTCCTGTCTAGAGCCAGATTCCTGATTGTTGTTGTAGAAATGGTAATGACTCTACCCTAGGTTGTAGGAAAGTGTTCTAGAGTAGGAAAGGGCCTTCGAGAGCATCTAGTTGACCTCATTTTTTAGATGAACAAATTAAGCTCCAGAGAAATGAAATGAGTTGTCCACTATTGTATATATAACTGCAGAGATAGAGCCATGAGTCTGCTCTTCTGTCAGTCCAGTCCCACCTTGCTTCTAGGCCTGCTGTGTATTAGGAGCAGTGCGCAAAGATCTTGTCTTCACTCCTGGGCCATAGTGGAGTTTCCTGGGAGCACAGGGTAATGGCTATGGAAGGGGGTTGGGGGTGGGGTGAACAATGTTATCAGTCAGCACCAGTCTAGTTACTTCTTGGCTGAGACAACTAAGACAGTGTGTAGTTAGAGTGACTGAAAGGTCAACACAACTTGTGCAGAAACTAGACCCATAAAGAAATTTCTAAGACAGGGATTCTTAACTTGAGGTCCATGAACTTGTTTTTCAATATAACTGGTTTACTTTGTAATCCTCTGTGTTTTACTTTATGCATTTAAAAACATTCTGAAGGGATTCACAAGCTTTACCAGATCCAGGAGCAAAGTAGAGGGTCCATAACCCGGAGTAAAAAAAATGCCTGCTCTAAAAGTGCTGTTTTACCCCGACCCTGAGTCTCATCTTTATATCCCTTCCTTCCCACTGTTCCCAGCCCCTCAGCAAGGAGTAAACAAGAATGAGTTTGTCTCCTGGAATAGTCTAGGAATCTGCACTTGTGCCCCTAGGGCAGTCTGCCCCTGATAGCAAGCTGGGGATTGGGTGATGATGGGCTGTCATCTCTTCAGTGCGTTGGAAATTTTTCCTCCCCTTACATGACCCTACCCAACTTCAGGGACAAATGTGGCATAAATAGAACTAAGATTATGACCCCCTGCAGGGACAGGTGCAAGTGCATATGGCTGTCAGCCACTCCCCAGATCCTCAGGAAGCACTGCAGTTGGTGAGAACCTGTCCCTTTTCTGAGCTTAACCACAAATCCAGGGGAATCCTGGCTCCCTGGTTCACCAGGTTCAAGCGCAGGTACTGAGCAATTGTTTTCAGAGGGCTTCCAGAAATCTCCTGACACCCTCTTCTGCCCTTTCCTCGTAGATAAGTGGTGAGAGAGCTGAGGGCAAAGTCCTGGGAATCAGACATGGAGTCCTTGATCCTGGAGGCTGGAAAGGTGACCCTGGACTGGGTCCCCAAGAAACTGTGGCCCTGGAGAGGCAAAAGTTAGCGGAAGAAAAAAAGAAAAAAGTGAGTGAGTGTGTGTGTGTGTGTGTGTGTGTGTGTGTGTGTGTGTGTGTGAGAGAGAGAGAGAGAGAGAGAGAGAGAGAGAGAGAGAGAGAGAGAGAGAGAGAGAGAGAGGAGGGCTGCAGAGCTGCTAAGGTAATGCTGGTGTATACAGTGGAGGGCATAATTAAGTTATAGCAGATGACCTCAGAGGTTTTCAGGATCAGTTTTGATAGCTGACTATTCTCCATTGCCAGTAGTTTCTACCATTTTCATCCCACATGTATACGTCCATCCCTGTCCCCCCCCTCCCCCCCATTTCAGCTCGAGGCTTTTAACAATTCCAGGCTCAGGCTTGACAGTCTGGCTGACTTAGAGAATTTGGTGCGGCAGCAGAAAGAAAAGCGGAAAAGCGCCTGAAACGGAGGGTCCCCCCCAGGGCACCTAAGCCCCTGGTAGAGGTGAGTTGGGAAGACCAAAGAATGGTGGGAAAAGTACCTAAAGGAGCCCTAGGAACACTTCAGTCTGGGCTTGACACTAAAAGCGTTTGCCCATTTCAAATGATCCTTGATTTTATCTCGTCTACCCCAGCTGCAACCTCCATCCCAGCTGCAGCCTGTGGACCTGGAGACATTTCTGAAGGCAGCTGTTGAAAACCAAGAGCTCCTGATTGACAAGTACCTGGCAGATGGTGGTGACCCTGATGCCCATGACATGGTAGGGTAGAGAAATAAGAGAACATAACAGTCTTTGATACACATTTCAAACCTAATTGTCAAAGGAGTCATAATTCCTTAGTTCTAAACCTCTTGGAAGGGTAGCCATCCATATGTCCATTTCCTCTCTCCACACCCAGTTCCACCGAACAGCCTTACACTGGGCTAGTCTGAAGGGTCACAGCCAGATTGTGAACAAACTATGGAAGGCGGGGGCCACAGTTGATGGTCGAGACATGGTAAGTTGGGAGGAAGAGCTAGAAGATTGGGGATTTCCTTTCTTCCAGTGAGGCTGAATTGGGAAAAGTTGGTCTTAAGGATGTCCTTTCTGAAAACCTTAGGACTTTCTTTTACAGTTGGACCGAACACCTTTGTTTTGGGCCTGCCGTGGAGGGCACCTAGAGATCCTTAAACAGCTGCTCAACCAAGGGGCTGAAGTCAATGCCCAGGACAAGGTAAAGGTTTTGGCAGGGAATATAGAGGTGTTATTAACCCAAGAGTGTCAGCGCTGGAGAGTTGATGCGGCAAGTCCTACAATGAAAAAGTTTCTTTGCATGGAGAAAGGGGAAATTTTGTGTATTGGGTTTAATATGCCAAGGTGTTTGGGTGAGGTAAACTGTTTGGCATTAATACATTCCTAACATGGGACTTGCCCCTGTCTAGATTTGGAGTACACCCTTGCATGTGGCTGTTCGAACAGGACACTGTGACTGTCTTGAACACCTTATTGCTTGTGGGGCCAAAATTGATGCACAAGATAAGGTAGGAAAATTGTCTTAATAATAGAGAGTGACCTGAGGATATTATGACTAAAAAAGAATTATCCAAGGAGCTAGATGCTCATTGGCATCACTTGTTGTCTTTGTGGAGTTCAATAGTTGGGAACTATTTCTTCTCACCACCATTTCAATTGGTTGGGAGAGATAGGAAAAGTAAAAAGGGTATGGAATAAAGGGAGGGCCCAACTCTTAACATGCTGTTCCTATAGGAGGGAGATACAGCCTTACATGAGGCAGTAAGGCATGGCCGTTACAAGGCCATGAAGATGTTGCTGCTCTATGGGGCCAAGCTGGGTATTCGTAATACTGTGAGTATGAGAGTTGGCCAAGGGAGTTTTCACTCAGATGTGGGGGGTTTATTTTCAGGGGAGAATAAAAGTTTTTATTTGTGACTGTCCTTTGTTCTCAGGAGGCAATGACACCAGTACAGCTAGCAAGAGATTGGCAGAGAGGCATCCAAGAAACATTACGGGCCTATGTTGGGCATCCCCGAACTCGTTGCTGATGATGACAGACCTTGTAGAGGCTACCACCATTCCATCCCCTTCCCTTTTGTCCCTTTTGTCTATCAGTTATGGGATAGCTCAGGTGGTCAAGCTACAAGTTGGGATTTTCCCAAGTCTATTCCCTTGTCCCATTGAGCTGTTCTACTGTACCAGGCAAGGTTTATTCCTTGGCCTTTTGTCTCTTACCCCTCTCCTCCCCTCAATTCCTAGTGATCTATATAGTAAGGAATATCAGTACAGATTATTTTCCTTGCCCTTGAATTCAATCTTTCACCTTCCCTGGTAGCTACCTCAATGATGAGAAAAAAAAATCCTGTCAGGATTTGGGATGGACATTGTCAAGTACATGTAACTCTAAGGGGTGTCCTGTTTGGTTTGAGTTGGTCAGAGACAAGCTGTTTAGGTCAGTAAAGAGATTATAAATTCGTAAAGAAGGTAGGAGAGAGAGGACGCTCTAAGTTTTGTGGGTGGTAGTGAAGTTTAAGATACTCACAAAGGTGAAGTTAGGTAGGTGAAGACTGGGGAGATGGGAACCATGTGGTGGTCTATCAACCATGGTCCCACAAAAGCTATTCAGAAGCCTCAGGACCAGAGAGTTGTGCCCTTCAGCTTGTGGCTGACCTAAACTGTATCATAACTTATCTAGGGGCTCATGCTCATTAGCAGCAATCCTGATGGGGTATGGTATGGCTTTAGAAAGTTTCAGTCTTAAGGATTCTTGAGATGGTTGTTGGCTTTTGCAGTGATATAGTAAGTTCTGGGATTATTCATTCTATCTGTAAAACAGCACACCCACTCTCTTAAGTCCACAACCAACCTGGTTGCTCCAGATTCCTCTAAGACTGACAGATGAGGGCTAGGACCTCCCCCCACCCCCGAGGAATCATCTCTCTCTGCCCCTGGGCTTTGGTCAGAACTTACATGATTTGGTTTATTTTTTGTTCTTGCCAGGGTATTAGTGTGTGGTCTCTTGCTCTGTGGTTACTTATGGGGCCCACCCAAGATACTTGGGGTGGTGGCCTGTACTTGCAAGGGTTGAGGCTACCCTGTAACATGGCAGGTAGGAATTTGGTCCTAAAGTAGATCCCCATGGTTGTGGTGCCACCTCTCTCTCCTGCTTGTCACAGAAGGAAATATGCCTGCTATCTTATGTATAGTAAGGCCTGGACTCTCAGGATCCAAGGCAATAGGAGAAAAGGCTGGCTGCAGAGAACATAGTGGAACTGAGTATATAATACATCCTGGATACTTTCTCCATATATTCTTTTTATACACTGAAAATGGTTAACTGAGACCTTTTCTTTTTGTATTACCTTTCTTAGTGGTTACTGGTAGATGGAGTCTTAAGGAGAGTTTCTACTATCCTTACCACTAAAGTTTCTGCTTTCTACATATTGCTGGTCCAGTACTGCTGGTCAGGCTGAGATCCTAGGATCACCAGAGACCTCATCTTCAAAAACCTTACTTTAGCCCCATTGACAGAAGATAAGGGAAGGAGGAAGCCCAAAGAAGGTACAGGACCCCTCCCTTAGCCTGTTAAGTGCTCTGGGCCAGGCCTAGGTTGAAGGCCTGGATTACATATCCTTAACATGACAAGTGCCACTGTGGCTGCTAATTTTCTGTTTTAGGCTCTTGCTCCCCTTGAGCTTTAAGGCTAGGGTGTCCTCCACGAAGGATGAGAGCAACAGACAAAAACCACCCCTGTAGGTTGAGGCCATAAAACCTTCCTGGCCTTGCCTTCCAGGCTATGTAGCTTACATGGCTGGTGCCAGAAGGAATAAGTTCTGACATATGATTATGGCAGTGACTACACCAAAGTCAGAAAATGGAAAAATGCAATAAGAACAAATGAAACATTTTTGTATGGATCCTTTTTTTTTTGGGTTGTTTTTCATTAAAACTGATTCTCTTTTGTAGCCTGGTTATATTCTATGGTGATGTGAAAGAGGGCAGGATAAAGAAAAAAGATGGAGAAAAACTTTACAGCAATCCATTTTTCACTTTTGGTGCCTAAGCTTTGAACAACTACAATTAGTGTGACATCTTCAGATCATGACTACCTTGTCCTGAATTTCAACCCATGTAGTGCTTCAGTAAAATTGCCAACCCAAGCTTAGAATTTCATTATTTACCAGTAACACTTAGGGAGGGAGAGAATGATATCACTCATGGTGCAGGGTGCCCCTGCTCAGGTCTGAGACTCTGGACTTATTGTGCATAGGTGACTGTTAATCAAAGACTCCTCCCTCTTAGAAAAGAGTAAGCACTAAATCATCTTTTTTTTCCCCCTTTTGCTTGCTTCAGCTGACAGTTAATTGCCCACGCAGCCCTACCTTTTTGGTACCTCATTCCAGATGGAAAGACTACCAAGGTAAAAGGCAAGTGAGTTAAATGACCTCAGATTCCCTTGACAGTACAGAAAGGGACCAGTTTCTTCTAAACTAAGTCTCTACCTTTGCCTTTTAGGCAGTGATCTCTGGTCTGAAGGCTTCCATTACTCATGTAATGGCAAATAGTTTAAGGGAAGCTTCAGTGTGAAGAAGAGGAATAACCCTCTCTTCTCCCAAACCCTATACCTAAGATTAGGAATTAAGAATCTCTCTGTCTTGAGAAGAGGAGCCTACAGTTCAGAAAGCTCTCCCTTCTATATGCCAGCTTCCCAAGGATGTCAGCCACGTTAGTTGGTTACACTGTATATAGGATCATTAGAAGCAAATGAAGGTGTAAGACTGGGTACAACAGAGCCAACAGATTGTTATAAACAGTGACCTGGGATCACAGTAAGGTTAGATTCAAATAATAGTACACCTGTCTTCACTCCATATGTGACCTCAAAAAAATAACCAGGATACTATTAGTAACAACTAGCCATGGGGTTAGGGGAAGGGAGAAACCTGGGTCGTTCACCTGGGTAGTATGAGGGACCACCTCTAATAATTTAAAGCAGCAAGGCCAAGTCAGGAAGGGAAGTACAGCTTGGGGTGGCCAAAAGCAGGAGTGACCTGAACCCTTAGTTCAGAGAGAGCTGAGCGTGGGAACAGGTTGCTCTTTTTATTTGGGCAAACAGCAGCCTCCACAGGAGGAGTTTTGGGGAACAGGCAGGCTATGCACCTGCCACTATAGTACTTAGGGTTTGGTACAAGAAAGACATAAAAGGGGAAGATAAAAATGTGGCACTGTGAAGAAGGGAACTGCCTTGCAGGCCAAAGCTTACTGCCACAGACAAAACCTCTGGATCAGAGCCTTGGGCAGAGGCTGCAGTGTTCTTGGCTCACTCTCAAAGTGCTGCCAACAGCAGGTACTTGGCAAATTAAAAACGAGGTGAATGCAGGTCACAGCCACATGTTAAAGAGTATAATTTCTGCATTCGTATAGTAAATAATACTCCACTATCATAGCCTTAAGGCTATGAAGCATCCCCATTGAGGGGGGAGGTAAAGAGGGGAAAGGGCACCTTGGGATTCCGAGATGATGGGCTTTTCTTTAATTCCCTGTTGACTCCTGTCCCAGGAGCAGGGTTTGGAGAATGATGCTACAACTGATTCCCATCCCCACAAAAGAGGCAGGTTTCTTATCTGCAGCAGGCTCTTAACACTGGCATTAGGCCCAGAGCCCATGTCTCTAAAAGCCACCTAAAACGTGGCCAGAAAGGGAGGGGACAGGTTGGCATGAAGCTACTCCTGGGCTCACTCAAGTTCCCCACTTGCTTGTCCATCCCCAGTTCTGGGGTTGCCTGGCAAGAAGTTAAACTCTCGTGTTCCTCCCAAGACTCTCTTCTGTTGCGGAGTTCAGTCTGCTGTTGGCTGTTCCTGAAAGAGATGTGTAGAAGAAAGGTCACAGTCTATCCCTGAAGATGAGCAAGCTGAGGCAGCAACAAATACAGTAAACTGCTTGGGTAACATAGGGCAGAAAGAGGTCACCTCAAGGTACCTTGGAGATTTCAATCTAGTGAAGGACTGGGATTAGGACATAGATTTCTCTTCATAGAAAGCAATCCATAGGGTCAGGCATCAGTATCTGGGTATATGGAAATAGTGAGTGGTTCTTTCCATGGTTAAGTAAGTTGGAACTGGAGAAGGCTAGGAAGGTATATTTGGGGAAAAAAAACCCCAGCCCTTGACAAAGAAACAGTCTTGGCTAAAAAGGACTGGTTTTCCCACAACTCAGTGGGGATTTGGTAGGCACTTTGCCTCTCAAGAGAATGAAAAGCAGTACTAAGGAGAGAAAAGTTCAAACACCACTCCTTCCCAGAAGGAGGGCAAATCTGCACAACACCAGCCTTTGCAGGAGGAGACTTCTTGGGAACAGAGGCAGGCTGCCCTCCTACCAGCTTTTGTCACTGGACAGAAATGCCAGCAAGTCTCCTCCAAACATCAAAGGCCTGTTAAAGCCAAAGAAAGGGGGAAAAAATGGAAGGGAAGATATTTACCTTGGGTGTTTTCTAAAAAACAAAAATTCTCACTAGTCCACAGTCATCTATCAACTGCAGTTTCCAACTGTGCCAAAGAGGGAAATGTTTACTGGGAAGGCTGGAGAGAAAGGGGAGATGGGGAAGAGGAGAGAAAGGAGAGAGGAAGATACAAAATATTTAGCTAAAATGGCAGGTCAGTCAGCACATACTGTCGAGGACTAGACCAGGAGATAACCATATTTACTCACATAATTCCCACACAATTTATGGCAACTGTTTAAAAATGAGACAGATTTTGCAGGTAAATTGTTTTCTGCTGTCTTGAAGTGTACCAAGAAACCTAGAGCATAAAATTTCATTCTGAGATGAGCCTCTGAATTCACTTGGTAGTGAATAGTGTGGATTAGCTATTTTCACTCTGAAAAAGTATTTGACAAGATTCTCTATTGATGACTTTTAAAAAATAAAGATATCAGATAATCCTTAGAGTTTAAAAATGGCCACTGATATTCTGGCTTTGATAGGAAATAGGTAGACTAAAGGTACATTAATCTGAATGAATAAGCATTAATAGCAGAGTCTCACTAGAAATGATTTTAAGACTAGTACTATTTAGTTCTCATATAAATTATCTGGAAGAATTCATATATAGTAAGATTTCGAAGTTTGTAGATGACGCTAAATTCTGTGTAGTGAAATACCAAGCTAACAGGAAAAAACCAAAGAAAGGCCTCACAAATCTGCATTAATGACCAAAAAAGGGGCTGCTGAGCTTCACTGTGGCATTTGTTGATAATCAGGAAGAACTATTAAAAAAAACTCTTTCTTTGGATAGGGCAGTCAGTTAAAAGTGAGGGAAAGGAATTAAGGTGACCACAGGTTATTCTCAAATCAGAACTGTCCGAACGGTGCTCCTTTAACCAGAAAGGCCATAAAATTCTGGGTAACATTTAAAACAAAAGTGAAAATTTTTTCTAGACTTCTGCGCCTGGGAAACAAAGGAGAGCTTAACTATAAGAGAGATTTTTTCCTAGGTGGATTAGGACTCTTCCGTCTGAAAACAAAACAAAACAAAAAAATAGAGAAGAAGTATATAATTCAAGTTTTTAAGTTCTTGAAGGGTATGTTCAATGTAAATTCAGAGTTGTTGAAATTCCAATCTAGTACAATTAGGGACACTCTTGAAACTCAAAGGATGAAGCTTTAAGGAGGGGGAAAAAAAAGACTGTGTTACATAATGCATCCCCCAAGGGATGCCACAGACACAAAGTATAAAATAAATGTAATAAAGCTTTGGGTTCAATTCACAGATAATACATAATGAATTAAAAGAAACTAGTATATTTTGATACCATGGCTAATCTGTAGGATTGACGTCTTTCACAAAATGTCCCTTCTTGTCAAAAGACTGAACACCACAACTGGTCAAGACATCTCTGATGTTTAAAATATACTTTTAACGATCAGAATGATTGATGCAAAGGGCTCAAAAGAAGCTACAGTCCTAATAATTGTGTGGGAGAATATGAGTAAAGACAGTACCTGTCAGCATTTGAAGCAGTAGTTACTTTCCCTCTATACCATCCCCAGGGGGGCGCTCAGGAGAATCTATGGGAGTCCCCAAGTTTGGTCTTTGGTTCCTACTTCAAAGCTCACAAAAAATAACACGATTATTCAGTTTCTTTGATTCTTCCAAGAAACACAGATTTCTAGGAATGCTTAATTTTTCATGCCTTTTATCACACTTCTCATATATTATATTTATATATATTTGTAAAAGCTTGTGTCCCATTCTCCCTTGACTACTTCCCTTTATACAACTGGTCTGCACACAGTGGGGGCACTCTACATTTTACTAAGAGATAAGAGAATTAGGTATTACCAAATTGCTTCCATTAGTTGCTCCCAGTAGTGATGATTTGTATTGTAATAACCCATTCACAGCCTCACCTAGTCTCATTTGTAACTAGGCATTTTTGAGAGGATTAGAATTAAAATATACTATAGAGTGATTACACACAAAGCAGACGCCTAAGTTTAACAGCTAAATCCTAACCAAGTGAACCAACACAAATAAAAACTAAAAAGCTGCCACAGACTTCACATACACCCTACTGGTTGAAGCAAATGGAAATTCATCTAACGAGGGCATAGCTAATTAAAGGTCAGCTGATGAGAAAGGGGGAAAGTAGAAAGGAGGAATGAGGGGAGGAACTGGGATAAAGAACACCAGTTAACTGGCTCCAGAGATACCCAAACAGGAAGGAAGGGACTGAGTTTGGCCCTAGGTCAGGGACTTGACTTCCAGTGCCTGCTGAAGGATGGTTACCTGCTGCTGCAGCAGTCTTGCTATGGAGCAGCTTGGTCTGGCTGTTGGGGACAATTCGGAGGTCCAGGTTCTCAGGAGACTGTGGGGGATTCTGGGCACGTGACGCCATGAGTGCATTGAGGTACTGCAGTCGAGTTACCTAAAGAAAAGAATGGGACACTTAGCTTCAAAAGTACTACTGGTTAGAATTCTGCCTTACTGAACTCATCATTTGTCCTGTTTAAATACAAGATGTATATTGTAGAGGAAGCAGAAAAGGACCTAAGATGGGGGGAAAAATAAAACCCTAGAAAAACGCCATTAAGACTGACTGGAGGAATCTTGAAAACAGAAAGGAACTGTTCATAGAAATGTTATTTTAGGGCCCTCAGTGTGTGTTACAGCTGGGATGAGGAAGGCAGTTTAAGGAAGAGGAGAAAGAATAGGAGAATTGGAGATAGGATAAAATCATCATGCTAACACTTCAAAAAATGGAGCTGGAATGCTTTTGTGAGCAACCAAGAACAACCATTCTGGAACCTAAGGCTCATTGTCCAAAAGGTAGATAAAATTAGAATTTTAGCTAGGTTCCATAAAGAAACATGACCAGGTTGGCCTAGCCTTATTATGAAAACAAAACTCATTAAAACCAGCACTGATGAGTTACATGGACCTTCACCTTAATGAACTGCAGGTCAGAGAGGGCCCTCACGGTGTAGTCAGGACAATACGTAGAAGAGTAGTGGGTACTCTCTGCTGGCTCGCACTGCTGGTCACGTCGGCTGGGCCGAGTTGAAGACACTGGGGACTGGTGAACTGGGGAAAGGCAACAATCAGTAGTGTACAATCAGTAAACTGAATCCACCTTGGAAGGGGGTACCCTGAAGTTTTTAGAAACCACTCCATTAAAAAGCACACTAGAGAAAAGGCTGACAAGAACTATGAAGAGATGAATAAGGAACAGAGCTTTCCCCATGGAGGTGTGCAGCCAGGAAAAGAATCTAGCCTTCTCAATGCACTAGGCTATCTCATCTTCAGCATACGTTCTTTCATATGAACTCCACAATAGTTCTGGGAGGTAGATACTATAAATGTTATTATCCTTGTTCTACAGAGGAGAAAACTCAAGCCCTAAGAAGTTAAGACACTTACCTGTGGCTACAGAGCCAATAAGGACCACATGTGACATGTTGCCTAGCACAATTCTTATAGGCACTTTGAGCTATTATCTACATTCCAAAATTTCTTCTGTTTTAGACTGTCACTATAGCAGGACTCCTCACTTCCTACTTCCTCCATTCCCCAAAAATATTTCTTTCTGCCTCTGTACAACTGGACTACTCAGTTTGCAGAGAACAGTGGGGAGAAAAGGGCAGATGCCAGCACATCAGTGTGCTTAGGTCTCTGAGGACCCATAAACCACATGATCCTATGAAATGAAATATTTCTTCTCTCTCTCCCCATACACCCCAGGTATCACAGCAAACATCAATCAACAAGCATTTATTAAGCACCTACAATATGGAAGGCTCTGTGCTAAGTGCTGGGGATACAAAAAAAGGTAAAAATGGCTCCTGCCTGTCCTCAAAAAGCTTACAAATCTAATAGTGGAGATAACATGTAAATAAAGATATATACATTGTAGAGGAAAGAAGAGAGGGGAAAGGATTAGCAGCTGGGGAAGTGTGAAAGACTTCTTAGTGAAGGTGGCATTTTAATCTGGAGGGCCACGTGACTGGGTTAACACGTAGACATTTCAGTAGGCCAGAATGTTAATTCATTTCTGGTATCTCACTAGAAAGTAGATGACAATGAAGGCTGAAAGAAAGCTCCCAAGGCCTCTACAGTGTTAACTGCAACCAGGGCACAACATGCTGGGAACCACGGCCTGAGGGTTATTAATGTCTTGGTGCTCTTACCTGAGGATGGTACTGATAAGGCAGACACACCATAGTAAGTGAAGGCTCCATTTTCAAACTTGAGGCCCTCTTTCCCAATCTCCACCTCAACTCTGCCCTGAAGGGAAAAAGAAAACATCAGTGTCTTAGGGCTTGTCTGCCCTTTTTTAGGAGAAGACCACCAAAAGGAATTATCAATTTCAGTTAGATATGAAGAAACCAGATTAAAATAAATATCTCTGGGGATAGGAGATGAAGAAGAAAAATGCTATCATTACCCCATTTTATAATTGAGGAAACTAAGGCAAACAGAGGTGAAGTGACATGGCCATGGGTCAGACTTGGGCCTTCTTGACGCCAGGTCCAGCACTCTATCCACTGCACCACCCAGCTGCCTCTGAGTATCCTTATTCCCCAACTCCTGTCCCTTTTCTTATTTTATTGTGGAAAGGAATCCAGGTCCAGGGCCTGATATGATGAGGTAGAACCTGTTGAGTTACCTGCAGGATGAGAATGAAGTAGTTAACTGGCTGATTGCGCTGATACAGGTAATGGTCTGCAGCCAGTCGGTTGCATTCATCAAACTTCACTTCCTGGTTGACACTGGGATGCTTCAGCAGGTGTAGCAGGACCTTCTCTGAGATTCGTAGTGGGCTAAATAAGTCCACCTCTGCCCCATGGTGGGAAAAAGTGACAAGTGTCCATAAGGGGCTGTAGCCACTCAAGCTTCTACTCCCAACTGCCCCCAGGCCTACCTGAGGCACCCTCATACCAGATCAACAAGCTGGAAGTGCTATAGGATTTGAGAAAACTGGCTCTAAGCCCACAGAATCTGTGATGCTGGAAGTGGGCCACCTGACTACAGTTCTACTAGCCTTGCTGGCCACAAGCCTTGGGCCCCTCCCATCAGCTGGCCTGCCCCTGCTCTGAGCTGATACAAAGAAAAGTTCTATTGCAGGTAACAGGAAAAGGAAAACGTCTTTACCTCTAGGATTCCTAGGCCTTGATGGTTTATTTGCTCAGAACACAAGGATTTCCCTGTGAACTGTGAATGGGGTTGTAGTAGGAGAGTCCCAGTACCTCTCCTTTAAAGTCTTTATGCCTCAGAAAACAGAAGGTAAGAGGTTCCACATCTGGTCAGTTACCCCAAAAGGCAGTGCCTCTTCAAGCCCTTGATCAGGGGAGAGCCCAGGGATGGTGAGTAAGAAGGAGGTGAGGATCCTCTTCCCCTCACCTCGGGAGAGGAAACGCTGGGTGGCCAGGAGCAGTTGGGGGGAGATCTTCACTTTGTGCTCATTGTCAGACCCTTTGAACAAAGAGAACTCCTCCTTCTTTCGCTCTAAGGGGGCACCCAGACAAGTAGGTTTCTTCTTCACCTTGTTTTCTCCTGAAACAGGATTAAAGAGCATAGTTAGACATTAACAACTAGTTTTGCCAATATATTCAAGTTATTCCATTACCATGTTTTCCCTCCTACCAAGAGCTATGGTACAGAGAGGTTTGGCAACATCAAGATGTGAAGAAGGCAACTGTTTCACTCACCACTGCAGAACAGCTGCCCTTTGGGCTGGATATAGCTGCCATTCTAATCACCTGATAATTCTGGTATTAGGTAAGGAGAAGGAATGGGCACAAAGGACTTGCCAAAAGGTAGACCTCCCCATCTGGAACTGATACAGGACAGTAATTTATATAACAAAGAAACCTGAGGCATCAACACGGGAATCTTGGGCCATTATAACTGTACTTGTTGTGAAGGGAGTACTTAACAATCAACAAGCGTAAACATTAACATTTAAAACAATGACATAATTTGCTCTGGTAGCTCAGTAACCACATTGCATTGAGACTCCATGCATGAGAAGGGACATGGAGCAAAATATTATTTCAAGATAATCACCACCAGTGAGCGGTTCAATGCCCCAAGGTCAGATTTTAAGTTCCAACTCTGTCAGGTAAATACCAGCCCTTACCCCTAATAAACAGTTTTACAGGATATGATAAAGAGCTCTAAGATCAGACTGCTCAGGCAGGACAGTGATAGATACACCATAAGCACCTTCCAAAAGTTATATGCTGGAATTAGGCCAAAATTCACAGGTGCAAAGAACACAGGCTCTCTGCAGAGACAAATCTAGAGCTGGGCTGTAAAAGAACGAATTTGTAATGACAACATAGGAGCTCAACATGTAGAAAACTAAAACGGTTCTGAAAAGATAGTTCCACCTACTATCTTGATGATCACAAGGGGGGGAAAAACCTAACCCCAAGATTACTAAGGGATCCAGAACAGAAAATGGTTTTGCAGTCAACGGTGGGAAGAATAATGGTTTTGACGTGAGGACACCAGGTATAGTGTTATCTTGGGAACTTGAAAATATTGGTCATAATCACACAGAGACTGGAAGAACCTGTTTACCAGGATATTTGAAAGTAGCTTGGCCAACAAGAGGAATTTAAGTTCATTTGTGTCTAGGCTGCTTGAATACCCCTGCAACTTGAGAGAAATTAGATGAGAAAAACAAAACAAACTAATGAGTTAACTCACCATAGTCATCAGATTCATCCAGGATCTCTGATTTAATTATCTCCTCAATGACATCCTCCAGTGTGACAAGACCCATAACCTCATAGAAAGGGTCTCCCTCGCCTTCATTGTTCACCTTCTGTACAATGGCCAGATGTGACTTCCCTGTGGAACAATATGCTGTTGTCATGGTGGCAAACAGAAAGAAGCCTAGACATGCTGATCATAAAACGTTGTGGGCCACACATATGGGACTTAATAGCCATAAAAGACTCTCAGGAATGAAAGGACAGCATGGAAGCATAAAACTGTGTTTGAATCCTGACTCAAGATATTCACTAGGTTGGTGATCCTGGGCAAGTCATATTTTAATTCTGGGGCCTCGGTTCACTCATATCTAAATGAAGGGGCTCAACCTGATGACCTAGAGGTCATTCAGGACCTTTCCAGCTCTAAACATATTAACTTTCTGAGGCTCTATTTTCTCAACTATTGCTTAGTATCTCTAACTGGACATCTATCAAGCAATTTTATTTTTATTTTTTTAATCCCCCTCCCCAATTATGTATAAAAAACAATTTTTAACATTCTTTTTTAAAAATGCCAAGTTCTAAATTTTCTCCCTCCCCTCTTTCTATTTCCTTGAGATGCCAAGCAATTTGATGTTATACATGCATAATTATGCAAAACATATTTCCATATTATAAGTCATGTTGTAAAAAAACAAAACAAAACACAAACACCCCCCCTTCCAAAAAACAATCACATACAAAAATAAAGTGAAAAATGTTTCAATCTGTACTAAGAATCCATCAATTCTTCCTCTGCAGGTAGATTGCATTTTTTATCACGAGTCCTTTGGACTTGTCTTGGATGATGGCATTGCTGAGAAGAGCTATGTCAATCATAGTTGATCATCATACAATATCACAGTATCACATCATACAGTATCACAGTGTACAATGTTCTCCTGGTTCTGCTCACTTTACTCTGCATCAGTTCACGTAAGCCTTTCCAGGTTTATAAAAATATTTTAATATCCAGAGAAGGAAAGGCTTGGACAAAGATACATCCAAACCTCTGAAATCCTCTCCAACTCTAAATCTATGACTCAATGATCCCCAAGAGAAAGAACTGTTGTCATACATGTTATACCCCCCTTAGTACCTAGTACTGTGTCTGTCTTGTATCAGTTTTTAAAATTTATTAAAATAACAAAATGACAAGGGAAACTGACATGGATTGATAGGTTTAACTGATTTGTTCCCAATCTGTCTGAGACTGTTATGAGAACCCAATATTATTCTCCATGGCCTTAGTAGTCTGCGATCTGAAAAGCTGGGACTAGACAGGATGTTACATAAATAGAAGCCTGAAGCATAGTTTGCAAAGAACACTGAAGGCTGAAAAATGCCACAAAAGCAATGTTTTGCAAACAGACAAATACACTTTGTAGTACAAACTGATATGCCAATGAGGGTTGGAATAATTCCACTTAGAATTCTTCCTCAAATTAGTTTTTTTCTGTTAAACTTAAACAATCATATATACTGCATAAACATTTATTAATAAGTACCAGCTATGTACCAAGCACTCTTCTGAGTACTAGGAATACAAAAATAAAAATTAAATAATTCCTGCCATCAAAGAGGTTAACATTCTCTCTGAAGAAAGAATACGTATGGTATATACACAGGTAAATACAAAATACATACATAGTAAAAACAAAGTAATTTTGGAGGAGGGATACTAGAAGCTCGCAATGCATCAGAGGTAGAAATCAGGAAAGGACTCATGTTTGAGCTAAGCCTCGGAGGAATTCAAGACTTCTAAGAGGCAGAGGTGAGGAGACAGTGCATTCCAGATATGGGGTGGGGGAAACGGAAGAAGATAATGACTAGATAACCTCTAAAGTCCACACCAACTGGGCACTATGACCCCATGATCCCTGAGGGTGATGACTGGTCATACATTTTGTAATCCCTCCTAGACCTAGCACTATATTTTGTAGCAATAGCACTTTTGTGGCATTTCTCAGCTTTTAGAACAAAAGAACTAAATGCAGACTAAATGCAAAGGCATACAAGATAGGAGACAGAATGCTTGGCTTGAGGAACAGCAAGTAGGCTCCCTTTGGCTGGACCACAGAGTGAGTGAAGGGAAGGAAATACGTAATGAATGAGCTTGCAAAGGGGAGTCAGAGCCAGATTTCAAATGGCTTTAAATGAAAAAACCAAGGAATTTGCATTTGATCCTAGAGACAAGAGGAAGCAGAGCCACTGAAGCTTTTTAAACTGTGGAATGATATGCTCAGACTAGTACTTTAGGAATATTATCTGGCAGCTATGTTAAAGATAGATGAGAAAGGGGAGAAACTTGAGGCATACAAACTAATTAGAAAGCTACTGCAATAGTCAAAGAGGTGATGAGGCACTAGTGTGAGGCAGCAGAAAAAATACTGACCCTGCAGTCACAGTACTGAGTTTGAATCTAGATTCAACCATTTACTAAACCTGAGTAAACTGGACAAGTTACTTAACCTAGGCCTCAATTTCCTCATCTGTAATAGATGGCTGAACTAGATGGCTTCTGAACCCCTTTCCATATTTACATCTATGATCTTAGGGACTGAATCAGGATCAGTAGAAAGAGCTCCACTCCACGAGTGGAGATAGAGTCAATGAGATTTGACAACAGACTGGCTTCAGGGAGAAAGGATGAGTGGAGTCCAGTGAGAACCTAGACAACTGCAAGGATGGCAGGGCCCTTTACAGAAACAGGAAAGTTAGGAAAAGGGGTGGGTTTGTCAAGGAAAAATTTTAAATTCTGTTTTAAATGTATTGCTTTTGACAGAATAGAATTATCTTAGAAAAATTCTGTCTCTATCATCTTTACCAAAATTTTCAAACCAGTAACACTGTAAATGAGTAATGGGATTGTTATTTGTATTTTCTTTGAAAAGCAAATCACCACCCTCTAATTTATTTTGGGTGTACATACAGATCGTTGCCATTTTCTCGGCATGAGGTGTACCTGTATTGAGTTGCTGCCTGATAGAGGAGGGCAGAATGGCAGAAATTAGAGCTTGGCCACAGTAGGATTCTCTCCTTACTCTTACCATTGTTAATCTTCCATCTATGGAAATATATTTCGCATGATTGTACATGTATAATTTATTTTAATTGCTTGCCATCTCAGGAAGCAGGGAGGGAAGGAGAGAATTTGGAACTCAAAATTTAAGAAAAAGTTAATGTTAAAAATGTTTACATGTAATTGGGAAAAAAAATTATTAAATAAAAAAAAAAGATGGTTCACAATACTTGATTATACTGCCTTAGAGAACTTTTCCTGCATATTATGGACTTGCCCGGCAACATTGCTCTCTTTGTACCTTACCAACTCTGTGGAATTATTTAAGAATTAAAAGTGACATTTTGCAGAATGTTCTGATATTCTTATGGAGAAGTGAGATGGGAGATGCAAAGGAGCCCATTGGTTATGCTTCTGCCACTTTGAGATTAGGCCCTTATTCCAAGTTTAATAAGTGCCTGCTAGTGGCAAAGATGCAGAATGAACCCTGTAGCTCTTACAACATTTTTCTTGCCCCTATGACATTTGTGTTGGGGAAGGCCCAATTATTTGTAGAAGTGCCATTCCCAAGTCAGAGCTTCAAAGTGGCCCTACCACACAAAGCGAAATCTATTGGGGAAGATGGAGAACTCTAGCATGGGATTTTGAGCAACATCCTTACCGAATTTTGGGAATGGTCCAATGGGCCAAAGCTCAGGGATGAAGGGAGGGTTGCACTGAATGTTACCAAAGGAAAAAGGGCCCACCCCAGGCCAGTCACCTCAGCATGTCAACCAGCTGCAAGAATCCAAAGCAGCAACTTCTACACAAGGTCCTTCATGCAAAGTTATTCCTGTTTTTACAAAAGTTCCAGTCAGCCACTTACCCCACATGACCATGAGTGAACTGTGAAGCATAAAGAGCTTTTTAATACAACCCAAAAAAAACCCTGCATTAATAAAAATAAATGATAAATTATTAAAATATTCTACCTGAGAAACCTAATGTTCAAGGTGGTCATAACCCAACATATGAGAAGTTGAAACATTATGAAAAGGAACTTGGCTTGAATGGGCAAAAAGTCCATCTTGAATGACTTTTGACTCTTTCTTTGCACAGATGTGATTATAACTAATGAAAACTTTACAGTCTATCACACAGATCAACTCAATATATTCTTACAGACTATTATATTTGTGAACTAGGCATAAATGCCAATACATACTTTTTGTAACATGTATCATCATTTAAAAAAAGTTATGTTGCTATTGTCAACCCCAGTGTTAAAAACAACCAGAAAACTTCGCCCTATATAGTTCTGTTATAAAAAAGATTTTCAGGGGCTGGTTCGATATTGGGAAAACTATCAGCATAACTGATCATATCAACAACAAAACTAACGGAAACCACATGATTATTTCAATAGATGCAAAAAAACTTTTGACAAAATGCAATACCCATTCCTATTAAGAACACTAGAGAACATAGTAATAAACGGAGTCTTCCTTAAAATGATAAGTAGCATCACCCTAAAATCTTCAGCGAGCATTATATGTAATGGGCATAAGCTAGAAGCATTTCCAATAAGATTGGAGGTGAAACAAGGATGTCCATTATCACCACTGTTGTTCAGTATGGTACTAGAAACATTAGCTTTAGCAATAAGAGAAGAAAAAGAAACTGAAGGTATTAAAATAGGCAAAGAAGAAACAAAACTATCACTCTTTGCAGATGATATGATATACTTAGAGAACTTTAGAGAATCAAGTAGAAAACTACTTGAAATAATAAACAAATTTAGCAAAGTTGCAGGATATAAAATAAACCCACATAAATCGACATTTCTATATATTACCAACAAAGCCCAACAGCAAGAGATAGAAAGAGAAATTCCATTTAAAGTTACTGTAGACATTATAAAATACCTGCCGAAACAAACCCAGGAACAATATGAACACAATTACAAAACGCTTTTCACACAAATAAAGTCAGATCTAAACAAATGGAAAAACATCAGTTGCTCATGGGTAGGCTGAGCTAATATAATAACAATGACAATTCTACCTAAATGAATTTACTTATTCAGTGCTGTAACA